GAGCGGCTACTTACTACGGTTCGTTAGGTTCCGGCGGGTCTCGACTATTATAACTAGTTAGATAGGATTCGGTTCGGTTCGGAGAATCGGTCTTAGCTATACGATACTAAGGAACGGAGAGTAGATAAGCTTCGACTGAGATCTACCACAATAGGGATCTATACGGTCTTCTACTTATTGAAAATTAAAATGGTACTTAATGTTATATTACTAGCTAGTTCTTTAATAAAAAGAGTGCATTTAACTAGAACATTAAGTATAGGGAGGAAAAAGAAAAGAGAAGAAAAGAATCTATCAATAGGACCAAAAGACATTGTGGGGTGGGTCCTGGGTCGAAGGCGGAAACAATCAGCAGAAATCTCTGCAAGGCGGAAACACACGGCAGAACCAACTGACTCGTCCATAGGCGGAGTCAGTCAGCAGAAAACTCTGCAGATCGTCACAAGTACTATATTTTACTAGTAGTAGTCCGATTAAAAATAAGATAGTTTAGAATATAAAGACCTACTATAAAGGGTCTTTATAAAGGGGTATAATTAGAGTACTAAGGATATATATAATACGAATTACTACTACGAGGCAATTGTAACTAGTACTACGTATATATTTAAACTAAACTATAAACCTTTATCTATAGTTCCGAATCTACTAGTTATATAATATACGTAGCCTAAGCGAGATTATATACATTAGACCTATATTTCTCGTAGGCCATTGATATATCTACGTAGGTCCCCGAAGACCTCCGAAGGTCCACCTTGAAGGTGCTATCTCGGGTCCAGGCGGGTTCTGCACCTTACTTTGTATGGTGTAGGACGTGACAGAATTAGATTATAAAATCCTAGTAGTAGATAATTTAATAAATAAATAAGTATCGGAAAGAAGAGGACTTCGATATCGGTAATTAGATTTTTATTATAATAAAGAATTAGTAGCTTAACCGTCTAAATTAGAAGCTTTTCTATCTAGTTAGTAGATCCTATAAAATTATTAAAAAGATCGGAAACGCTTATAAGCTCGATCTTCTAGAATCTATTAAAGTTTATCCGGTATTTAATCCTAGTAAGCTTCGGAAAGTCTTATTATTAGAACTATTATATAGATAGTATCTAGATCCGCCGCTACTAGTTAGGATCTCGGAGGAAGATAAATAGAAGGTAGATAAAGTTATCGATTCGCGTCTTTACTACCGGAAGCTATAGTACTAAGTCTAATAGCTCGGCTATAACCTCGACCTATAGTAGTATCCTATAGGGAACTTTAAATATATATCTTAGAAAATTTAGGAATTCTATAATAATTACCCCCTAAAGCCCGGGCCCTTAATACGTCTATAAGCCTAGATAAACGTAGCTAAAGACGAAGTCTTCCTCGAAGACTATAGGGATAATAATAAGCCGGCATTTAGGGACTAAATATATTCTTAGTCGGGGGTTATATAACGATCTATAGAGATCTATAGAGTTTTCTACTAGTTGACTCCGCTCGTAGAGTTTTCTGCTAATTGTTTCCGCCCTTGACCTAGGACCCACCCCACATTATCTTTGGTCCTATTGTTGATTCCTTTTTCCTTTCTTTTCTTTTTCTTCTCTATACTTATTGTTCTAGTTAAATGCACTCTTTTGTTTAAGAACTGGCTGGTAACAGATACCGTTATAAAAGAGATAGAGCTAGATTATTCTATATACTACTAATTACTAATAATTCTATTTAGTTAATAACGTCTCTAAAGAGAATATAAGCGACGAAGAGATAATAATTTATATACTTATATATAATAGAGATAGATTAGTAGAGTATTTTTTAATAGCTATTAAAATATCGAATTCTACTATCTATTAGAAATTATACTCTAGATATAGTACTATAAATCTACTATTTTTATCCGAATACTAAGCCTAAAATATTATTATCTTAATTATTTAAGTAACTAAAATACCTAAAAAACAGTAGTATTCTTCATAAGTTATATAGGTCACGTTTTTCTACATATTTGCACTATTTATAGTCCTATAGGAGTCCCATCTAGGCCTTGACAAGTCCCGCAGCACCAGCCAATTTTTGGTTCCGGTGCTGCAGCACCAAATGGAATTCTGGTGCTGTGGTGCTGCGACCATACCTATTTAGGCTAGAGAATTACCTAGATAGGAAAGTGATCGGCATTATGATGCTAAGGCAGCACTGAAACTAGCGCCTTGGCTCCTGCTTGGCGCCAAGGCGGGACCAAATCGGCGGGACTTGTCAAGGCCTAGTCCCATCAAAGTCCTATGGGAGCGGACTGGACCCCTTAGTCCCATTCTTGGCACTCCCATGGGACCACTCCCATGGGAGTTGGCAAGGTCTACTACGAGAGTAGGGTCCTCGGGACCTAGTTGAGTAATGTGACCCGTAAGGATCTCGAAGAGATAAGGATCCCGCGTGTCGAGAGTACACTTAAGTGCGGTAGACTATAATACGAAGTTAGATTCGCCGGTAAGGGTAGGAACGAGCTCTAAGAGCTTTGGCTCCGCGAAGCTAGTTGCTAAGAATATCCTATTGTTATAGAGTACGTCGAAGGAGAGAGGCACCGAGTTGTTTGTGGGACGATAGCACTTGATAAGGGCTGAAAACCTATGCGCGTTTGTTTGTTGTGACCGTTTGCTAGTGTCGAAAAAGTGCTTGTAGGTGGCCTGGCCGGTAGGAGCGTTGATGGTGACGGTGACGTCGATGGTGATGGCGGCGTCGATGGAGGGGCCGATGGAGGATAGTGATGATGAGGATCGATGAATAGAGCATCCGAGGGCTCATAACCTGTTAGGAGAGATCTACGTGGTGGACGTCAAAGTGCATTGTGCAATGTGAGATTGATTGAGTTGGGAGATGTAAAAGCTAAGTTACTGAGAATGAGATCTAACAAGAAGACTTTTCACTTCTCAACAATTGCACTCATCTTACCACTTGCTCTGCATAGTAAGAATTTGGTACCAAGCCACATTGCTCTTCCCAAGTTCGACAGAAAGAATCTACAAATCAAGGTGTTTTTGTGGGGCGCCTATCTGTTGGATGCCTGGATGTCTGGATGCCACATACAGACCCACAAGATGACAGATCCAGATAGTCTCCCGAGGTCTCTCTCTCTCCTTCTCTCTTTCTCCTCTTTGTCCAACTCAATCATTAAGAATCTATCTGCTTGGTTTCTTCATCAATATTTCATCAATAGATTCTACATTACTATCCCATCCAAACAACCATGCAAACATCGTCCAGTTACGAAGGCGGAAATTCTTAATAGAAAACTCTCTAGGCGGTCAGTAGTAGCAGATCAGATTGTCACAGGTTTAAAGATTAACTAGGCAAAGTTTGAAATAAAACAGAACTCGGAGTTTTGATAGGGGAGCGACGGAGTGTCCCCTAGTCTGAACGATTGACCGAAGACGAAAATAGAGAACGGTGATTGGCCACGTCTTGAGGAGGGTTCGCTATTTATGTTTTAGACTATTAGATAGCGTGTTGATTATTATGCCATTATTACTCCGTATAGGGTGTTTGAATTAAACAAGTGGGATTCACCCGAGGCGCCTCGCCAAGAAAGCATGGATGTATTGTTCCTGGCCCCACAGAAAGGCTGCCTACGCGTGGCTGATAATGAAAACCTTGGAATGATAAGAGCGGCTCTGCCGTTGTTAGAGATTGGAGTATGAGATTGGAGTGTGAGAGGTATAGAGGTATATGATGACATCACTGCTATACGGATAAAGGAAATATTCCAGTCGCCTAGCGCAGGCAGCCATTCAACTATGACTCAAGGTGCGTGCCAACCTTCCAAGGTAGGCATGAATACAGATGAGTCAGACTCAAGTCCCCCTCGTTAATTAATATCATTTGATTAAATATCATTTGATTAAATATATCAAAATTTAATCCCCCCCCAAAAAGAAGTTAGGATTCTGTAATAAAGCGAAGGAGAAAAGCAAGAGCAAAAAGGCAGAGAAAAGAAAACGATCTACACCAATCGATCACATGGGACAAGGGAGTCAATGCTATAAAATGATTGGCTGACCTCTCTCCTGCGGCTGATCCTATTAGGTGATTGCCCGCATGGGATGTTGTCACATGTGGACATGTGGACATGTGGACATAAGTTGGTTAGTGATGGAAGGCAGGAAATAAGATGACATAAAGTTACATTTCAATACTAGGAAAGATTGGGTATATTTACTTAAATCAGTTATGGGAATTACATATCAACATTAAGTACTAAAATTACCTTTGTATGTATTATTACCTTGAGAGAACAGAGGTATTGGAGTACCAAAAGATGAGATCAGCTGGTTCTCTATTCAAATGACGCCCAAACACCCCCTCTCTCTCTCTTTCTCTCCCCCTCCTTTTGCGCTCTGATACTTCCTCTCCCAACCAAAACCAAAACTAACCCTTTTACAGTCAAATCCATTGGTCTCATGAGCCTTGGAGAAACTCGGAATCTCCATTAAGCGCCACCCCGCAGTTTATCATCACACCCTCAGCCCCCCCCAAATACTGACTCACAGTTCGCTTTCAATATTCCCTCTTTTCTTTCTTTTCTTTTCTTTTCTTTTTTTTTTTTTTTAATCCTTCTTCTCTTCTTCTTCTCTTCCTCTCCTGATTTTCCAACTTAATCCTTTCCATTTTCATTTGGTCCATTATCTATCGATGGACCATTACCCTCTTCATCAAATTGACTCATTCGGCCATTGGAGCCTTAACGCCGAGACTTAGGTCATATTGGCTTATCGCCACTCAAGAGAGACAAAGAGGCAGACCTGACAAATCACCTGGTTTTGCCTGGTGATTCAACTTCCATTGAGTTCCATAAACACTCACTCATCAGCTTTCGCCATCCATCTTCCCACTCTTCCTGGTGTATTCATCTCCCCCTCCCTCCCCCAATCTCTTTCCGGAAAGTCTAGCCCTGGGCACCCATTGACCAATTTAACCTCTTATTTGCCAATTACCGTTGGATCAACGGTATTTAATCTGGAATGACTTCGTCTACTGGCTGGCAGCCAGCCAAACAGCCGACCACCATGCATCGTCTCCCATCCGTTTCTAGCCTCATGTCACCCCCAGAGACCAAGCCTCTCGAGAGCTTTCCCGTCTCGCTTTCACCGTTTGCAAAGCCTCGAGACTCTTCAACTCGTGACATACAGCTTCCACCCATCTCAGCTGATCGAAAACGAACCCAGTCAGAGATGGACCTCCCATCGCCACCTGTGACTCCCTATACGGGGAACAAGACGAGCAATTCCCACGCCTCGGACCAAATTGAAAGGGATTTGGGATCCCCTAGGGACCCTGTCCTTTTCCCCCTCAGGATTCCGTTACTGACGTTGCTACGGATGAGCCGTTGTTTGGCCCCGTTCACCCTCCATCTGCGGAGGCACTTGTGGAAAAGCACATGAATTCTCATATGGCAATCTTTCGCAATAAGCTGAACAAACCCACACGAGATGAATATCTCCTGGCGCTCTCCTGTGTTCCTATTGTTTCGACTCAGTACAATCGCAATCCGGGTGCATGGGCCCGAGAGGAGCGGGAGACGCTGGAGCGCCAGATGGCCATGATGAACCGCTATCGCCCAGGAGATTACGAACCCAAGTTGAAGAAGATTGCTCCTGCGCCAGTGAAAAGATCAGGAAATCAGTCCCGCGTGCAGCGAACCCGGGTCAAACGCACCCCTAAATCCACACCCAAGCAGCAGGTGTTTGACAACTTTGATCCCCCCCAAACCCCGCTTACCAAACCGCGTGCCTTGGGTACAAATCGCGATGACACCGATTATCACTCACTCAAGGACTATTCGCCCCCGGCAGATACGCTAGGCGGTAATGCCAAAGCATTGAAGGCCGATTGGAAGGGGCAGATGTTGGATTTGAGCAATGACCCGGACAGAAATATTCTCAGTCCCGCCGAGCTCAATCTTGCCTCCACCCTGAGACTTTCATGTGCAACCTATCTATGCAGCAAGCGTCGAATTTTTGAAGCTCGGGTTCGAGCTCTTGGTGTTGGCAAAGAATTTCGCAAGACAGATGCCCAGCAGGCTTGCAAGATCGATGTCAATAAAGCCAGCAAACTTTGGACCGCTTACGAACGTGTGGGTTGGTTTAAAGCTGAATATTTCAATCAATACCTAGCATGATATCGCAGGCGACGTGTTTTGATGGTACCGTGATAATGATGCCGCCAGTTCATCACAGCCCGTGTGTGTCGCCTCCCATCACAGGCCGAGCCATCAGACACCGTTCCAATAACTGACCTCTCCACCTCAGTGTCTATCACTGTGCAATACAGCCCTCAACTATTAATCCAGATCCGAGTGTTCTCCGCTCTCTGCGCCTGACCAAGACAAATGTATGGGTGTTCCCTGGATCAACCCATCCTACCTCTTGCCCTTTCGGCTTCCTTTTCAATTGCTGTTTCTCTTTTACGACTCCTCATGACACATTCTCTCCCCCCTCTCTTTTTTTTTTGTCGTTTTTGTTTTGAGATTCCCCCTACTTGGTTTTCTTTTCTTTTCTTTTCTTTTTTGCATACAGACACCCCATGGACTTTGATTCTGTTCAACTTTGGCTGCTGGCTATGGCGTTTGGGTGCTCTATTTCCGTTTCGATTCGGTCTAGAATGGCAGGCTTGGTTAGCCACAGGTGTTTTTCGTTTCTCTATTGCGATTGAATTTTATTGCTCGATGGTTCTCTTTCCCTTCCCCCTTCTTTTTTTCCAGGAAGGCAATAGCACAGAGGATAAGGCTTGATACCCTGACCAGATATGGTTTTCCTACATCACAATGAATTGATATGAAATTTTGACATGAAATTGATATGAAATTGATATGAAACTGCGGTAAATGTAAATGATTTAATAATACATATATGTAATACTATATACGTGTAGTAATATTTGAACAGTTAGTAGTTCCTAGGCATCGATTTAATATATAATTATAATTATATAATTATATAGTTATATAGTTATATAGTTATATATATACTTCTATATGTATATATGTTGTAGTCAAAATCAAGCGGTGGGGCCGTAATCGTAATCCCCCCGGCAGCCTCGGGGGTCCGGCGTCACCTTTTTCTTTGACGTATCCCTTGTATCATCTTTCTACTTCACTCCAATCTAGACCATCTAATTTTATTCTCATCATCTTGGTCAACCATGTCTCAGGAGGTGACTCGTGCTGAGTCCATCGAAGAACAGGAGCGTGCAAGGGAGGATGGCGATAAGAAGCCAAAATCTCGCCGACCAGCCAGTAGGTCCCTGGGAGATCTCATTAACCCTTTGTCCTCAACTAACCTGGTACCAGATACTGCTTTCCGCCAGCAAAGATTGAAAGCATGGCAGTAAGCTTGAGATTCCTGTATTTACCCTAGGACCACCGTCAGCGTGCTAACCTTCCACTAGACCGATCTTAACCCCTAAAAGCGTTCTACCTCTGTTTTTCATTGTCGGCGTTATCTTTGCCCCGATTGGCGGTGTCCTCCTCTGGGCAAGCTCTCTAGTATGCCTAGTTTCATACCTTTCCCTGACAGAACAGCTCTGACGAGCCATGTGGTCTAGGTCCAAGAAATTTCCATCGATTACTCCGATTGCTCCAGGCAGGCACCGACAGACAGCTATGCTTCCGTTCCTCATTATTCGGCGACCTTCAAGTCTTCTAAAGCCATATCGGCACCCACCTGGCGCAAGTCCATCAATGAGTCTGACTCGGGCGCCGTTACTTGCACTCTTCTTTTCGAGGTCCCGAATGAGCTTCCAGCACCGGTTTTCATGTATTACCGCCTCACCAACTTCTATCAAAACCACCGCCGATATGTTCAGTCCCTTGATTTGAATCAGCTGAAAGGAGATGCTGTTCCCTACAATACCATCAAAGGTGGCACATGTGACCCATTGGCGGTCAATACCACGGCAGAGAAGGTATACTATCCATGCGGACTGATTGCAAACTCGTTCTTCAACGACACGATTGGGAGACCGCAAATCCTAGATCCGAATGCACCTGAGAATGAAACGAAGTATTATGAAATGACCACGAAAGGCATTGCGTGGGACAGTGACAAGGAACTCATCAAAAACACAAAGTACAATATGAAAGACGTACTGCCACCACCAAACTGGGTCTGGGCCGGCGAGAACGGTGTCTATAAAGAGAATCCCAATTTACATGAAAATGAAGCTTTCATGGTTTGGATGAGAACGGCTGGTTTGCCATCGTTCAGCAAGCTTTCCCGCCGTAACGATACTCATGGCATGCCTGCTGCAACATATTCCATCGATATTGTTGATCGTATGTGTTGTTATACTATACTTACCACCTCTTTTGTCTACACATTTTACTAAACTTGGTTAGGTTTCAATGTCACCGAATACGATGGAACTAAGTCGATCTTGATCTCTACTCGAACAGTGCTTGGAGGCAAGAATCCCTTTATGGGAATCGCCTATGTGGCTGTAGGTGGAATCTGCGTTGTTCTCGGGACTTTGTTTACTGTCGCGCACTTGGTGCGTCCGAGGTATGTTCTCTCTTTTCCGAATCGAAGTTCCAAACGACTAACCTCTTACTAGAAAACTTGGTGACCACACCTATCTTACTTGGGATTCAAATCAACCGAGTACTGCCATCGCCACAGGACGGGATAATGCCCCGTAAGACCTTTCTCTTTTCCCTTTCCCCCTTTTTGTTTCCTTTCTGTTTCAATATGCCAATTGTAAATAATCCTTTCCATTCAATGACCTCATCAAATGTTTGACATCCTAATTCGTTTTGTTTTTCTCCGATCCTTTTTTACATACTCGTTACCCCTTGCTCAAAAGATATGCATTCCCGCATGACGCAGCATTCTTTATGGAATTGGACAGGTTATATGATAACCTAACATCCAAGACTGGTTAAATTCGAGATGGTTTTCTTTTCTTGACTCTCTGTTCCTTTTTTGCTTTGCTTTTACTCTCTTTTGGCACAGGTGTGAAGGGGGAAATCAAAACCAGGGCTTCTTAAACACCATGGTCTGTCACTCATTTTTCCAACTCGCCGTTCTTGTCACTCTTTTTCTGCAGGTTCGGTGTAGTCCCTTTGTCCTTCAGAAAAGAGGTGCCTGTGCTACTGAAGAGCCCGGTGCCGATTTCTTGCATGCACTAGGGCGTCTCAAGTCGGATGAAGCCGATCCTGGTATTTCGCAGGGCAGGAAGACACCAATCGAGATTGAGACCTGGTTCCATATCGTCAGCAGCAAGTCGGAGTCCAGCCAGGTCACTGATGATATGATCAATTCTCAAGTCAGTTGCTTCTTTTTCATCTGGTATCTCAAGTGCTGATTAATTCCACAGCTTTCTATCCTACAACAATCTTATGCAGACTCTGGCATCTCCTATCGATTGGAAGGTGTGACCCGTCATGTCAATGATAAGTGGGCAAGTAATGCGGATGATGTGGCAATGAAAGCGGCCCTTCGAAAAGGAAGCTACCGGACCTTGAATGTTTACTTCCAAACCGATCTTCAGGCCTCGCCTGGACAAGATGGACGCGCGTTTGGGCACAGGGGTGCTGCCAGCAACAGTGACCTGGCATCGAGCGTTCTTGGATTTTGCACCTTGCCTGATTCGAGCGTCAATGCTAGTAGCCCGGCTTCTCACTATGTCAAGGATGGCTGCAATATTTTGACCAAAACAATGCCCGGTGGCTCCTTGGATCTTTACAATCGAGGTGGGACTGCCATTCACGAGATTGGTCACTGGAATGGCCTTTTGCACACATTCCAAGGTGAATCTTGCTCAGTAGATGATCCTGGTGACCACATAAGTGATACGCCACAGCAGTCCACCCCGACAGATGGGTGTCCTGCTAAGAAGGATTCTTGTCCGGACTCTCCTGGCCTGGACGCAGTCCACGACTTCATGGATTATTCATCTGATGTATGCTATGAGAGCTTCACACCCGGACAAGGAGAGCGCATGCGGAATATGTGGGTGTCAATGCGGGAAGGAAAATAGGACGACAGTGACTGCTCTGTATGGAGTCCATTCATAGCTATGTACGCCTACACAAGACCAAGGTCAGAATGAAGCCCGCCGGCTAAGCCAGTCGGTTGCTGCCCTTTCTAGAAATGCTAGCTGTCTAAAGACACTTTGAACGAATATCATGCGTGAATATTTGGATACAGTACAGTCAAGGGACGTTAAAAGACTAATTTTCTCCCGATTAACACCATAAATGGGTGCTTTTTCTGATTTTCCCATCCACCGGGGAGCTCGAGTCAAATCGTACAAGCATTCGAAAGGCTGTGAAAGGCCAATTCAAGAGAGATGCAGGCGTGAGTAGCCTGGTTAACTTGCTCATAGATTGGGAACACAAAGTGCAAGAAAGAAAAGAAAGAAGGAAAAGCAAGAAAGAAAAAAGTCATTTGAAGCCCAAGTCGCAACAAAATGGTCGATTAGCGCTTGCGTTTGATCCCGCGGTCATTGTCTTCATGCTCGGTCTCCTTGTCTTTACGTTTTGCCTTTTCCTCAAGCGCGTCCCAGTCCTCACCACTCTCCTCGTCACCGCTGAAGTCTTCCTCGCTAGCATCGGCACTCGCGTCATCATCGAATTCACTGTCTTCCTCGGAACTCTCGTCCCCGGCTGCGAGCTCCGAATCGGACAACTCGAAAGCCGACTCCTCTTCTTCATCCGAACCGTTCTCAGAGTCTGACTCGGCTGATAGGAAGGACCAGCCTCCATCGGCAAAGAAGCCGTACGGATCGCTGACGACTGTTTTCATGATCGTGGTCCAATTCAGGTTGAGCGGACCCTCGGTGAACGCAATATCAACAGAATCAAGCCAGTCCTTAACACCCTCCAATGCCTCGACAGGAATCGTGTTGATATGAACGGGGGTCCGGCGGAAATCCTTGAAAACGAAGACCATGTCGAAGTTTTTCAGTCCAAACTGTGCGCAAATTAGTAAACCAGGCCGACAAAATGGCGGTAAGCGGAAAACATTACCTGAACTCTCTCTAGATGGGCAATCTCGATTTCATTCAAAGTGACGGTCGTGAAAGGAGGTTCAGTCAGCTGAACTAGGGCATCGGTAGTCGGTTGAATCAAGACATTGGAACGATTTGGAACACCGGTAAATCCAATTTCCCTGAATGGGATATCGACATCGACGCCCTCGTC